CTGAGCCTCAGTGCTTGACATACTCCTCCCACCTCTGGTCCCCCTCCCCAACCACCTGACAGGCTTCTGCATCAGTCCCTGAGGATCCCACAACACCGTGGCAAGATGCAGCCTGCCCCTAGATCTCTGCCTCAGGTTGCTGCCTGCTCCCCGGGCTCCATGGAAAGTGGGCATGTGTGTGCCACCATCCTTGCCACCAAGCTGCTTTTACCCTAGTGTAAATAGGGCAGTCAATGGGAACACAAGCCCTTCAATTCATGTGGCAGAGACCCACAGGACAGGACAGTCACATTCACCAACCTGTTCCTGGGGGTTTAGCTCTGAGATCAGCAAGGAAGCTCTGACTATTTAATTAGTCACCTAATTAGCGACAGGCTGCGCTGAAGGTTTCAAATGTCCTCAGACAAATGTAAAGATAAAAAGCTTAATTAAGCCGCCAGCACTAGGCTGGCTGCTGCCAGTGCCCACAGCTGTGCCGGATATTGTGCGGAACCGTGCAGCCAGATAACAGGAGTTTGGGTCTTTGGGCTACAATCCGGGCTTTGAAAACATGCCTGGCCAGTTAGGAGCTATTCTTATGCACCTCAGTACACTCAACCAGATGAGGGACCACAGTCTAGGTTGGGAAAATTCGTGATTTCAACCTTTGGTGAGATTATTTGGTCATTTTTTTGAGCAAAATTTCCTCGGTATGGAAGTGGAAGGCAATGTGGGCTTGGGTTTACAACGCCCACCGGCACTTCCTGTGAATCAAATTATATATTTCTCTAGTCACACAAAGGGTCGTGGGGGCACCACCCAGGGCTGCTTTCAGACACGGTCTTCCCATGATTCATTTGTGCATTTTTCTAGTGCCATTTCAGGCTCTGCAAGAGATTTCTTTACATAAGAATTGAATTAGGAAGGATTTTTAAATAAAGGATTAAAAGGAATTGCTCTAGAGTTAGAAGTAAATGCTGTAAGAACCATAGAGACACATGTGTTAGAAGAGAATAGAATAAAAGCTGCTTCAGCCCAGTGAGTTTGTGCCTAAGAGATGATAAAGAAGCTATTCTTTTGTATAGTTATGGGGGAAAAATACATGTTTGGGACTAAGGTTCTGAATGTCTAATGAGCTTCCAGGTGATGCCAGTGCACCTGGTCCACATACCACAGAGTGAGGAAGGAGAGTGTAGAAACAAAAGAGAAGTTCATAGACCTGGATCCTGTAGTTTGGTTTTTCTTTCTTTCTTTATTATGATGATGATTATTATTTTGTTGTTGTTGTTGTTTTGCTTTGGTACCAGGGATTGAACCCAGGGGTGCTTAACCACTGAGCCACATCCCCAGCCCTTATTTATATTTAGAGACAGGGTCTTGCTAAGTTGCTGAGGCTGGATTTGAACTCATGATCCTCCTGCCTCAGTCTCCCAAGGCACTGTGATTTCAGGCATGTGCCACTTTGCCCAGCCTGGAAAAAGACCTCTTATTGCCTCGGAAAGGCTTTTAGACTTCATTGAAAAGCTCTCCTTCCAGAACCAGTGCTGCCTCTGCAGATGACAAAGCTCACTTGGGGATGTGGCTGTTGATCAAAGAATAGGGAGTTCACTCTTGACCTCTGCTAGGTTTGGTCAAGTTCCTAAGGTGGCAGCACCTTTAGGTTGGCACGACCTAAGGATCCCATGATGCAAACCTTCCTCAGCACAGATGAGGACAAGGCCACCCTTAGAGCCATATGCTTTCACACTGGTTGATGGCAGAGCTGGGCTTATAGCCAAGGCTAAGTTCTGTTTTATTTATTTTAAATTTTTTTTCCCAGTGGTGTGGATTTTAAAGAAGTCTTAGTAAAAGAAGTGCTGAGAAGAATAATGTATATGTAACACCCAGACTGCCTAAGCAAAAACTTTCTGTCTCTGAGATCCAGGACAGCCAATGGGTACCATTCATCAATCTCAAGAACTGCAATTTTAAATAAGTCAGGTCCATCGCTTGAATGTCTCAGGCATCATGAAGTACACCCATAATTCACAGTAAAGATCTGTCTTTTCCTGTCCAATTCACTGGCTTCTACACAACAGGGGGAGGTAGTGTTTTCTTCCTCTGTGTTCCCCACTTCAAGAGAACTGTCCTTCCCCAACTCAGCTCCTGACTCATTGAAAGGCCCATGACCTGGTAGGGCAAGTGATGGGAAAGAAGGCTGGGACACCTGGGCAGGTGGAGCCCACAGCAGCCCCTCCTTAGCTCTCTGCCAAGTTGCTTCTGCACAGCACCCTCAGAAGACAGATGTGTGAGACAAAGGGGAGGGAACAAACCAGCTGAGCCTCACCCACACCATGAATGACTCTCTATCCACTTTCTTTCTTCAAGCACCAGAAGTCAGGGGCCTCCCTGGGGGTGATGGAGATTGCATAATGATCTGAGAGCAAGACCCCTGGCCACTGGGCCCAGTGCTAGAGGAGTCGGCAGAGCCAGGCCCAGGCCCAGAGAGGAAACAGAAGATAGGGACTCTGGTGTGTGTCTCTGGACAAATAAGTGCCATTCATGTCACCTGGCCAGAAAGGCCCAGTTCTAGTAGGGACAAGATGCAGGGTGACTCGGAGGCATGACAAAGACAAGAAGGTGTATCTGAGCAGATGTAACTGTGGATGAGTGACACCTGAGAACTAGACAGAATGTTGTACTTTAAAATTAAAGTCCTAATCCTCATCCTTCATATTCCCCTGCCATCCTCCCAGCATGGAGTTTGCTTCCTTGTGTATTGGGTGCTGAGACTTGGAGCAAATCATTTCCACTCTCTCAGAAGCACCTTAACACTGAGGATGGATGGATTTATGCAAGGACTACTACATTTGGTGTTCTTTGAAAAGAAGACCAAATGTACTTCGTAATTTCTTGCATGAAAATAATATAAGAAAAATGAATGTGCCTGTTGTGTCACCAGATGTTAGAAATGCCAGTTTCTGGAAAAAGAGGTCACTGCACTGTGTCTCAAATGGATTTTCCAGAAACTACGATCTACTTGCAGCTCAAAAGTACAAGGAGAGTGATTTTTTAAAATCTTGCTTCAAAAATGTGGATTTAGTCCTCACTGGGACTCATTTCACCTGCTATTTGATGAAAACTATTTCTTCAATTTCATTCCAGTTAAAATCACGTATAAAATTTAGCTTAAGTGGCAACTAAACTGGTGAAGTAAAATATGCAGTAGGTTACTATGGTGATTGCTAATTTAAAATAATTAGAGAAAATAATGAGAAACTATTTCCTCTCTTAAGGATTACAGATCCGTAAACTGATACCAGTCTATTTTTAGTGTACATAATCTCTGTAATGATGATAAAGAATTATGAGTACTTTACAATGCTTTAAAAAGGTCTTTCTGATTGGGGAATTCAATCAACCCGGTACTTATATCAAAATTTATATTTGTCTTTATTAAATTTAAGTCAATTCCATGAAAAGAGAATTGCATGTATATCTTAATGTAATCATTTAAAATAAAATTTTATGACTGAATATAAAGCCAAATTAAGATTTAAGACCTGTTTATAATCATTTCTTGACTCTCATAATTTCACAACTCCACCCTGATAATTCATCATTCAACAGTGGTTGCATAAGACTTGCTGTTCAGAAATCTTAGATGAAGGTACCCAACAGAACAAGCAAGCCTTGGTACAATATGGTACACACAGGAAAATAAATATGCCACATTACTTCTCATTATTTCATTCTTATAATGAAATATTGTCACAAACTGGCCACAATATTTAAGCATATGAACTCTACTGCTAACTTCAATAACAATATGTACTTTATTTCTGTTTAACAAAGGATATGTTCCAGAGAATTGAACAAATTGGCTAGAAACTGGGAAAAAAAAAACAAACAAAAAACAACCAACTCAGTTCATTGTTTATCTGGTTAATATGATGTCAAATGAGGAAAATCATCTGAAGAGAATCATCATTTGGGGTTAGCTCATCTCCAGGTTATCCAGACATAGGGCCACTGAGGGGTCATTTTCTCATTCCTTTTCTTATCCAACCTCCCATAGGCCCCACCCATCATTCTTGGACTCCTAACTTTGTTGACTTGGTGGGCTGCATCTCTCAATTAACTCCTGTAGTTTTGAAGAGTAGATAAAGTTTCTCATGTGATTTTGAGTAAATGATTTGGGAGAAAATTGGCTTTGTGTGGGTGCATGTGCATGTGCAGGGCTGGGGATTAAAACCAGGGCCTGGTACATGCTTGGTCAGGGTTCCTACCCCTGAGGTACTCTGCCAGCCCGCAAACTGGGCTTTTTACATTCAGAGTTCTGTGGTATCTCAAAGTCTGAGTCTTTTAAAACATCTATGAGAATCTGAAAGAGTGAATGAGGAATAGTTAATATGTACAGGGGTGCAGCTGAATAGAAGGAACAACTTCTAATGTCCTATAGCAGGGTTCAGCAACTATGGTTGACAACAATTAATTGTGTATGTCCAAATAGTAGAGAGGATGTTGAATGCTCTCATTAGATATGCCAATTACCCAGATCTGATTATTATATAAGTGTAGAATATACCACATAAATATGTACAACTACTGTGTCAATTATAACTAAATTACACTTTAAAATAGAGTAAAAGAGGAAATTGAGTCTGAGAGAGGTTAGGCCACACACCAGGTTTCCATGTCAGGTCCTAGCAAGCCAGGGCATGATCCCAAATTCTTGGAATTGAACCCAGGGTTCTTCCTTATAAAGAGGTGCTGAAATCCAATGAGCAGATGGAGAGAGTGGCAGTACCTATTTTAGGCATTGTAAGATATATGGTCTTGTTGTAGCTACTCAAATCTACCAGTCAGATTTGGCCTGGGGGTACCCCCCCCTTCAAGTTAGGATATTCCCCCGATTCACTAATCCACCTAGGCAAAGTTGTGTGGTGACAGACAGACTCAAGTCTGTCCTGTCAAGGGACTCTCTTAAGGTGTAGGAAGAGAATTGTTATAAATAAGTAAATACAACAAAAACAACTCACCAAAATATCAATGTCTCTAGGAAGGAAATTCCCACAGTGGATGCACCAACCACAACAATCCTGGCATTGACAGTTATTTTAGGTTCCAACGTTAGTTTTCTGTTTGTGTGGTTCAAGGCATAACTCAACTAGAAGAAAAGAGTACAGAGACATTGAGAAAAATGTAGCTGAGTCAGCACCCCCAGATTGTAATTATGTGGAATCATTTAATGAGAATATCACTGGCAAATCAAACCTAAAAATGCCCATTTGGCAGCCAAGGCAAAATATAGGGAAAGTATTTTTAAGAAATTAATGGGAGAATATATTAATGCCTAACACACACACATGCACACAAAATTGTGCTTGATTTGGATATTGTTTCATTGCGGAGAGACGTTTCCTGCAGAACTGAAATGCTTAATGATTAGAGATAGCAAGGCAAATAATCCTACAATTACACAACCAAGCCACTTTCTAAGATTCTGCAGTTCCTTGAAATGTCTCACCGTTTTCCTGACCAAGGTTTCCTGATCAAGGTTTTCTAACACTGTTGAGTGATAATTATTTTAGTTGGGTACTTTAAGACAAGTATTAACTTTTATTCATTTTTGTATCCCTCACGCTATTTAACATGGTACCTTGTAGACAGTTGGCCCTCAATACTACTTCTTGAATGACAAACATTTGTTGAATGAGAAGGATTGTTCAGCGTTTTAGGGTATCTGAAATTACAGGAGACTCTCAGAAGTACAGAAAGTAACTAGTGATCCCTTTAACATCCATGTTTGCAAAAATTACCTGGATTAGTTGTTCAATTTTCTTTCCTAAAGAGGCTGCATTAAAATGTACAAAGAAAGATTTTACAGAAGTCAGAAGCCTCTAAATTCTGGTATGTCAAACCAACTTTTTTTGTTTTCTTAAAATCCTGAGATTCCCAAAGTTGGGATGCCCATAAGTTAATTTTGCAAAGTACTATTTTAAGTGGGGCTCCCACCTACCTTCAGGTAGCATGGGTGTGGGCTAATGCCACTTACCGAGTAGCATTTAAGTTTGAGAGGATAAATCCCTCTCTCTAGCCACATGGAGATAGAAAAATATCTTGAGCCAAATTACTTTTTTTTTAAGAGAGAGAGAGAGAGAGAGAGAGAGAGAGACAGAGAGAGAGAGAATTTTTTTAATATTTGTTTTTCAGTTTTTGGTGGACATCTTTATAAATTTATTTTATGTGGTGCTGAGGATCGAACCCAGCGCCCCACACATGCCAGGCGAGCATGTTACCGCTTGAGCCACATCCCCAGCCCCAAATTACTTTTTAATAGGAATATAAAACAAGGTACATGGTGCCTCTCAGAATCTGACTCAATCCCTACTTCCACCTTTGAAACACCATGAATCTGGGAAGAGATTGGATTCACTCCCATCTTCAAGAAGGGGCCCAAGTCGAGAATCCCACCTCCTTGCTCAATAATTGGTCTAGGATGGACACATGATTTAGGTTGGCCTAAGCAGAGTGAAGCCCAGGATTTTTGTATGATGATTGCAGAAAACTCTCTTGCTCACTAGATGGTATGGGGTTGCAGATGTGAAGCCTGAAATGGCTACAGTCATCATGCCACAAAGATAAAAACCATCTGGGCTCAAGAGAATCAGAGAAATAGAGCAAGAATTCCTTTCAAACCCTACTCGAAGCCCATGCACTCTTCAGTTATATGAACAATACATTATTAGCAGACATTGCCACCATAGTGCTGCACAGCAAACCCTCCAGAATGCAAATAAGTGTCACTTATTCTCACTCATAAAACTCTGGGTCAGCTGGAAGTAGGCTGGGCCTGGTTGCCATGAAACTTCAAGATCCACCTCACCTTTCTCTTTTTGGATGAGAGAGAGCTGGGGCATGAGCTTCCCATGGCAAAGGGAGAAATTTAAGAAGGTAATTGAAAATAAGCAATGCTTCTAATGCCTGTTGAAAATGTCATGTGGTAGAGTGAAGTGGGTAATATACTCACCTCTAGCAAAAGGCACAGCTGAGGGAGGGATGGAAGGTGAGAATGAGGAAGCCTACATTTCCTCTATTGTTTAGTCCAGTTTATTTCTTTTAACATGCAATAGAAAACTTCCTAGTTTGAGATACTTTCTAAATGAAAATAATGAATATCCTTTGGGATGACAAATGGCAGGTTTTTCAAATAACCGTCAGCTCTGATCAGCTCTATGAGGATTTCCCAGATCAGTGAGGAATTGTGCAAAGATTCTAGCTTATACTGGTTTATGTGGGTGTCCCAGTGTTTCCAAGACAAGAAGGCTGACAGAAAATTCACTCTAGCTAGCCTTGGGCTTGGTGGTTTAGAGTAAGGAAGGTAGGAAGTGTGTGAGCTGTTAGGATGGCATCTAATCGCAGGTCTAATTCACAGATTTTAAATGCAAGCATCTTAACAGAGGTCAGAAATCAAGATTCTTTCCATAAGGAGGTGCGTTCAGACATTCTCCTCTGCTGTCAAAGCTAACGTTGAAACATGGGCAGTAATGAAATTCCCTGGTAAAGAATTATACCTCATTTGTGAAACAGCTCCAGTATCAAGGATACAAAGGCGGCTGGGGAACAGAACAGAATGGCTTTTGTTTCCTACACAATAGCTTTAACACCAACAGCTGCCAGGCCTCAGAAATCACCTTTCTAACTGCTAAATACACAAAGTGGCCCTGGGTGTCAAGAGTTAGAGATCTGTACCAATGATGGTGGGTGTCTCAGGAGAGTGATCGGGCATCACAACGATGCACAGTACACCCAATTTTACAACGGATTTTAATTAAAAACATATCTATCATCAGGTATGATAAAATAGTCTGACCTAAAATGATAACATTTTTTGGTCCTAGATATCATTTCTATATGCCTTAAAAAAAGAATAAAGAAAGAAAAAAGAATTCTTCCCACCTCAGAAACCTTTTAATGACAAATGGTAAATGAAGATGGCTTTTGCTGCTGGTTAATTTTGTCCATAAGCAGGAAATACACATTATTTTTAATAAAAGCAAAATGTTTCCTTCCTTTATATTCCTTCAAACTACAGGTTTTCATGGCAAAGAAAAACATTTACCAAAAAAAAAAAGTTCCATTCATGGGGAGATCTTGTTTGGGATCTGAGTTTCTTAGTGGTGAAATAAAAAGAAAAATCCTATTGACTTATATTTTGTAGACAGAAATTGAATGTGCCTTGTAATAGTGAATTGTTTCAAAGATTGAAGAGAGGGGACTATAAGCTATTTATCTACATACCATAGCAATGATAACATGGATGAGCAATCAGCCTCTTCCATATTCTTTTCAGACATTTCTGATTCTATTTTCTAATGACATCAAGTTAGCATTTTAGACAAAGGGATGATCTTCAATGCAGAGATCAATGTGTACCCCAGTAAGAAGGAATAAGCTGTGCATTGCGATGTATAAGCTAACCTTTTAAGGTTAAAAGAAAAATATTTCCTAAAATTGATGTGGATGCTTATAATGAGTTTAAAATACATGCAAACCTTACATTCTATCCCTCAGATAGGAAAGGAAAGTTATAATATGGGACACTCCTGTTAGGAGGGGAGATTTCCCAGGAAAAGAGACAGTAAAGGTCAGTTGGGAGAGGAGAGAGGTTGAGATGAGAAAATTGGGAACAGAAGTGAACAGGCATTTAAGTTTTTTTAAAAAATATTTTTTTAGTTGTTTATGGACTTTATTTTATTTATTTGTATGTGGTGCCAAGAATCAAACCCAGTGCCTTATGCATGCTAGGTAAGCACTCTACTGCTGAGGCACCACCCTAGCCCAAGTTTTAACCTCTTTATCTGTAATTTCCATTGGGTTTTTGAGAATAGAAGACTGTACATGTGCATGATGAGCTATCAGTGGTAGTGTTTGGTCACTTATATCTATTTATTTTGTCAGCCACACTCCAGTGGGCTTGCTTGTTCCTGGAGGTCAGGAGTTATATCTTTGTTTGTTTGTTTGTTTGTTTTTTGGTGTTTGTTTTATTGTATCTGAACACATCCTGGCATACATTTGGGGCATTCAATAAATGGTAAGAGATTAGATATGTTAGTTTTGCATTTCTTGAGTCCCTTTTAAAGGGTGTGATGTAATTTCTAATATCCATGATTATTTTAGTTGATTCTTTTTCAGTTCCTTAAATGACCAAACAAGGGATTTAAAAGTATTTGAGGTTAAATTTGGCATTATTAGTAAAAATGATGTTGATATGCATACTTGGTTGAGTTGATGCTATAACTCACCTACGTTTATTAAGAGACCTCAAGGTACATAATTTTGAATTTTATACATGTTTGTTACCTGTTCTATGTCTATAGAAATTGACCATATATAACTTTACCTGACATATAGACCTGAATTCCACATCTCCACATCTGGTTTGGTTTCTTCACTGTACTTAGAATGAGTTACAACGATCACAAAAGCATTATTGAAAGTCAATTTCAATAATATGTCCCAATCAGAAGCTACTAAAATACAAAGAGGCCAGTAAACTATAAATGTATCAAAATAAATACAAATGATCCCACATAATAAATGCAAGGTTCATATGAAAATGGAACATGACAATATCTGTGGTGCATTTCTTCTAATGACAGTATTTCTTCTGGAGGTACCAATCAAACGGTGGGATCATCAGACTGGGTGTCATTAGTCTGGTGGTAAGGTTTGGGCTTGTTTCCTTAACTCTGCTACTGGTTGAGATTCGGAGCCTCTTTTCCTTAAACATCGGTTTCCTTGGTTGTAAAATGGAAGTAAATTATACCAACCTCTGCCTTCCTCAGCAGGCAAACATGGGAACTATTCATTTAAAAATGTCTACAAATACTTTGAGCTTTTCAGGCAAAGATGTTACACAAGGTAAAATTGCACATCCTTCTCCCATCTGCAATATGAAAGGCAAATCTTTGAAAAATACGTTTTAAAAGGGCAAAACAATGAGCTCAATTTTCAGCTCACACCCATGTGTATACATATTTTTTTCTTACAGAAAGCTTCCAAAGACTTCAAAGGGAGCTCTGTCCATGCAAGAAAATGGAAGATGGAGAGATTCAAACCCATTAGGAATAAAATTTCTGAAATCCTTAATAAGTGTACTTTTGC